CCCCAAAACCCCAAAACCCCAAAACCCCAAAACCCCAAAGAGAGATATTGTGTAAGTTTATAAGTTTTTTAGATTAATTTACAATTTTAAGCTATAATTATTGATATTATTAATTATCATTTTTACTCTTTGATTAATGTCGTAATAATCATGTTCCATACCAAATTCCTAAGCTTCCAGATAACATTAAAAGAATGCTTACTTAAATTTGATAATAATTACCATTTTTCTATAATTTTAGCAATCTCTTTAGAGCTGCAACAAAACCCAAGGTAAGTTCTCAATAAGAAATTAGTTTAATATTAAAATGCTCAAATTAAGTGAAATCTTTAAATTACTATTCATTACAATATAGAGTTGTAAAATGATGGTCTATATTAGAATCGTTATCTTCAGTCATTAATTACTGGTGAATGCTACAACAATTAGCAGATTTACCCAATAAATTTTGGTGATTCTTTAAATGAACAAATCACAGCTATGCATGTAATTCAATCAAATCAAGATTCTGATAACTCTCCAAATGATAAGGAAGATTGGATAGCATTAGGTGGGCACTCTTAAAGTTAAGCAATAGTATAAACAACTTCAAATAAAAGAGCTTTTATGGCTCTATTGCAATACATAGCAGGCTTAAAATGGGCATACTATGATTAATCAGAAACATTAGCCTCAATCGCTTCTTGTAAATTTGCTTCTAATGGACTTTAAGTTGTGTTTTTAACAACAAAACCGATGCACATTATTGTTATTGAAACTTTAACAGGTAGCATAATAAATATGCTTAAAACATCAAATAGAAATGAATAAACAATCTATGGTTTAGAATCAAGAATTCAATCTAATGCTGGTGTATTCTTAGGGTATCAAAGTTTTAACGGTGAGCAACCAAAAAACTGGGTGATTATGGAATTTAATTAGACTTCTGGTTAAACTTTATGGGCAATGTATGTTGGAACAATTGATTCAGCAACTTAGCTTTAAGAACTTGCTTACACTGGGGTTTAAAATGATTATGAGAGATTATATTTGGTAGGTAGAAATGGCCAAAATTAAAATATGATTGCCTCAATAGATTCATCAATTGGAAGATCAATCACTAAATTTCAAAAGATTTACACTTAAAATTCTCCTAACTTTAGAATTAAGCATGTAAGTGTGAAGCAACTAACCCTAGCTATGTGTGGTGATGATGGAATTCCAGTTGGAACAGTTGAATATGATAAAGTTTGGGCATCTTTTGCTACTATTACTAAATCAAATGACAATCTAAACTACTAAAGGGATTACTAGTTTAATCATCCAAATAATAAATATTGTGGTGGTGTGTTTACGGATGCTTAGTATCTATATGTCTTAGTTATTTCAGATAGATATACAGCAGGACATTATCAAGCTTTTATATATAAAAAGGACATTGTTTAGTTCACAGATAATCACTTAAAGGCCATAGACCTTTCACCAAGTACTTCAGTTCTCTATCCTATTATCAATACATTTCAAGTAAAAGCTGAAAATGGTAAAAGAACATTCTTTTTCTCAGGATCAACAGACGCTATAGCAAATGTGAATTTAAACAAAAGGACAAATTTTGTCCAGAAGTTCACATTCGATGCAACAACATATTCTTGCATTGCTTAGAATAATTATGATTCTTTAATTGGCCAATTTTTAACTAATGAAGGATCTACTAGTACCTTTATAGGCTCTACTTAAGCATTAGGCTTATGGGTAGATAGTTCCAGCAACATTATTAATGGTGTTTCTTTTGATAACCTTACTTAAGTAGACTATTAAAATTCATTAAAGCTAGACAGAATAAAATATTTCCCTAAATCTCACGATGCTTGCCAGAATTTACCTAAGACTACCACAATGAACAAAATCCTTGAGGATTAGACATACTACGTTAGTTAATCAGCTAAGTATTATCGATTTGAAACGTTCAATTAGATTATAGGAAATAAAATATGTTCAGATATCACATTCTTTTTCTTTGCAGAGCTTAAACAGGGTACAGAATTGCCCTCATTCATTAAGTTTGATGGTTCAAATAGGATATTCTAAGTGTTTACAAACTTGACATAAAATGCAAAAAGCTACGACATTAAAGTCACTGGGTACCCATCTATTGGGGAGCCCACATCATTTTATTGGACTCTGAATATCAAACAGAACTTACCACCGAAATTTTCTAGTACATTAAAGAATGCAAAACTTTACTATTATGAGTTAAAAAGAATTTAATTGCCTGAAATTAGCTTAGTTACAGATGCGCAGGTATTTATATCAGTGACTCTTCATGATAAACTTTACCTACCATAATGGATAGACTATGATCCAACTAAGATGCAGATATCTTTCAATCCAAATAGCTCTAAGAACATTGGCTAATATGATATTGATGTAATCCTGACAGAGTCTATATCATTCTTAACAACTACAGTCACATTTACTGCATTTGTAGTTGACAAGAATTTCAATCTTACAGATGCAGATAAATATCAATATTTTGATGTGAAACTTGAGGCTTTTAACGATGGACTTGTCACATTAATGTTTAGTACCATCTTAGTTAATTACAATAGTATTAATCTGACTTAGAGCCTGCAGTTAAGGATAACTGGAGATGCTGAATTTGAAGATGATACGTAGATAGATGATGGTGTGGCATCACCTTATAGCTTCACCTATACAGTTTTAAACATCAATCAAACAAATATTGATTTCCAGCTTTATTTTGATAATCCCAGCTAAATTGGTTTGTTCCGGAATCCTGACTATATAAATGTAAAGTTCTTAAACAATAAGACATTCCTTGGGGAGAAACTAGAAGTAGTTAGAAATACGAGTTTAAATTCTCAAGCAGTATTGCCGAGACTCATAAAATATTAAGGTATTTAAAATTATCTATTTACATTTCAGGAGATTAATGCAATAGTGCTTCAATTTTGACATAAATTTCACTTTACCTGTTCTTACTAGTTCTAGCTATTTCTGTTATTAGAGGAACTAAACTAAATCATATGATCAGATTAATACTTTTATTGCAATTTATGGAATATTTGCCCTTGCTTAATTTAAATCTACCAACATTCTTGGTATTTGGGTTCTCTGATATATCTTATTACTGCTTTTCTTGGACTAGACAAAGAAGCATCTATCGGCATCTGTTTGAAGATAATGATGGTCAATCATTTGGTTTTATTTATAGATACATTGGTATATAGAGCAAGAACTTTTTAAACAACATTGGAGACATTTTCCTTATCACTAGTTTGTTGATATTTATATATCTCATTCTGTATGTGATGAGTAAAGCATGCCAAAATAGAATATCGTAAGTTAAATCAACTCTAATCAACTTCAATTTTAGGATTGTTAAGTATATTATGAATGCTAGAGATTTATACAATCTCAATTCTATTATATTATATCTCGATTTACTTTTTTTCCCGTTAATGGTCCTCGGATTTAAGTCTATAAATCTTGGAAAGTCTAATAAGTATCAAGGAATTGTCTCATTCTTCTTTGCACTAACAGTAACTGTAAGTCTATTGTTTAATTATCTCACTCTGACTTTAATATATAGGTTATTATGCTATGCTTCTTTGCGCTATGTATAATATTGATATTCAAGAAATTCGGTAGACTTAATGAGGGAACTAAAAAGCAGAAATATGGATCTTTATATTAGGATTTAAAAACAGACTCTAAAGTTTCTGTGGTTGGTCACTAATTTCAGTTATTCAGGTCACTGCTACTAGCTTTGACTATTGTGTATTTAGATAGCTACCCTAAGATTCAAACATCAGCTATATTTAGCTTAACAACGATACTGCAGCTCTATTATTTGATCTATCAGCCCTATGAAAAAGGTCTTGATAATATAATCTCCATCATAAATGAATCTACACTCCTGGTAGTAGCGATATTTTACTTCTTTTTCTCTGATATGACTTATAAGATTTCCCCTAAAATGACGGCTGGTTGGTACCTTATCTTTAGTTACACTTTTATCATTCTTGTGAATGGAGGTTTCATCATCTACAAAATTATCTATGATTTTAGAATAAAAAAAGGTTGGATTAAGCAATCCTAAAACTTATCAGGGGATAGTTAGACAGTTTAGATAAAACCTGAAAAAGGTGATGGGGTAGATTCATTTAATACAAAAGAAATTCCTAATGAAATCGATGAATCTAAAAAATATAAAAGACGAAGAAGCACTAAGGTTAAGAATCAAGATGATAATGTAGCAGTTTTTTATGATCAAAGTCCTAATTAGAATCATAAATAAGGTGCTTTGAACTAGCAGCAGTACAAGAACGTCAAAATTAATGAATCAAATATAACAGATATGAGCGTTTATAATGACCAAAGATAAAACTATGTAGCCTAGGACATTGTTTATTAAGATTTGGAATTAGATGTTGAAGGAGGATAAATACCACAATTTGTACCAAAATCAAAGTAAACTCTAGATTCAGATAGGAATGTCTTCTCGACTAATGATGTGATGCCAATTACAAAGTAGTATTTTAGAAGGATTTTGAATAGAAATGAGGACAAAATATCTAATGGTGAAGATGCCTAGTCGATGAGCAGTAATCAAAATTAGTAGTAGAATAAATATATAAGAGCTAATCCGCGAACTGTTAAAATCAAATCTGAATTCAAGAAAAAGGAATACAAAGATGACTGAATATATAAAATAATGAAAGTTATATAACTTATTTATGTTATGGTTAAGTTGAATTTATTAGATATAATAGATGTTAATTTTAATATTTTAATAAAATGAGAGCTGCAATTTTCTTTACAATTAAACATATCATATTCAACTTTATCTTGAAACCCCTTATCTATATCTCAACTGCTCAGTTAGTTTCATCGTTGCTAGGGTTTTGAAGTACTATAAGTGAAAATTCCTTCTCAGGGGCAATCATAATTTCATGCTTTTTAGATCTAATTCTAATGAATGATATATCTTCCTCTTAGTGCAAAGCTTTAATTGTGGCTTGTGCCTTTGAAGTGAACTGAGTGATTAAAGATCCATATTCGATTGTCTCATTTTGCGACATTGTTGATCTGATAGCAATACCTCTTGAGTTTACTATGATGATTCCCTTAACTCCCTTGTGAGTGTTTATTCTGTTTAGGGTCTCCTCTACTTTTTGTGACATATTGGCTTGATGTCTGTATTTGTTTTTATTCGAATTTAAATTATTAATAATTTGCCCATCTCTCTATTTTACCCTATTGGGGTTTTGGGGTTTTGGGGTTTTGGGG